AGCCACATAGCAGGTAAATCAGAGGCCTCGTTCATCCCTCATCATCATCATTAACATTTAACATTTATCTTTCTTAAGAGTGTTACAGGGACTAAGGCAGTTTCCAAGCGCAGCAGATATCACAATTTCAGAATGAGCTAATTGTCTGACTGGTTAGAAGGCAGCTTCGTATGCCTGCATTTTTCATACATGTTCATGTCTCTCATCTTAGTGTTTGTTAGTAGTGTGGTTTGCAAATTGACAGGTGGGTGAACATGTCAGTTTCAGTTTCTCTCATACTCATTTTCCAAGTCTTAAGTTCAGTTCTCCACATTGGCCAGATTCGCCCCATACATTTAAAGCACTATAATACCACTTTAAACAGTAGTGGCTTACCCCCAGAGAATTCTGGGAGCTTTAGTATGTTAATGGTGCTGAGAGTTGCTAGGAGACTCCTATTCCCCTCCTAGGGTTACAATTCCCAGAGTTCCCTGGAAAGATGGATTGGTTGTTAAACCATTCTGGGAACTGAAGCTCTGTGAAGGGAACAGGGGCCTCAAAATAACACTCAGCACCCTTAACAACAACATCTCCCAGAATGCTTTGAAGAGGAAGATGTGGCTGTTTAAAGTGGTATGAAACTGATTTAAATGTATGGTGTAAATGGGGCCATTGCTCCGTGAAAATGTGTCAGCATTTTGGTGTGAATTGCACCAAATGCACATATTTTTGTATGTAATTTTGCCTAGTATACACAATTTTTTCAAACAATTTTCCTTAATGTAATGCATTTTTGTATTATTTTGACTAATAGATGCATTCCTATGCACACTTTTCCTAGTACACGCATTTTTGCACGCTTTACTTGGTTGGAGAACTGTACTACAAAATTCAGAGGAGTGTGAATTTCAAGGTTGACAGTGGTATGGTTTGGGAAGTGGGAATAGGGTCGATTTGTCTTTAAATGTGAACTGAATGGAATTTATCCCCATCCCCGTTCACAGCCATCCTGCGCTCTTGCCTGCTGACAACGCTGGCAGACTGAACGTCCGGACTGGTTGATCTTTAGTCAGTTTACTATAAATAGCCTCATTTTGACATCAGCTGTATTGACAGCAGGTGGGGCCATGCAATGGGCCTTGATTGCCTCTTGGCATTTCTCGCACTGAGGCATAAACACAACCCCAAAATGATTTCCAAATGTGGGTTCTGCAGCAGCGCTTTCCGCTGGCTGCTGCAAAGGGCATCAAACTTCTCTTGACTGCTCGCCTTCTAATCTTCATTTATCCCTTTGTTTTCGGAGACTGCTGGAGGTTTAATTTGGGGAGTGCAATGAAATGCAGCAAACGGTTGCTACAAAGCTGTGGAATTTAGCTGGAGATCATAGTGGCAACTCTTAATTTTGAAGGTATCGGTTTATGTTGGATTAACCCCATTTAATCAAGAAACTTATTTTTCTAAAATAGCTCTGGAAAGTACAGAGGTGCTTCCCCCAAAGGCATTTCATGTTGATTTATCAAATTTAAATTTATTCCTATTGCTTCTTCCAGCTGTGGCTGCTGTTTAAACATGTCCTGTAGTGCTTTCTTCCCTTTTCTGTGGGAGTATTTTCCTTGATTTCCAAGCTGACCTAGCCACATTAGGTTGTATCCAGCTGCATCCTACTCAGAGTACACCAACTGAAATTAATGGAATGAAATCAGGCATGGATTCAGCCTTGCACCTCTGTGGCAATCAAATTTGCTTGCCAGACTTGAGAAATAGAATGCCATTATTTTCTGCTTGCATGAAATGAACTTTGAAAACTTGAATATTTAGTGAGGACAAGCAGAAGGAGATGTGTGGCATCTGATTGTGCTTTCTGGGCTTATAGAACATTCCCGTCTGTCCTATCTATCTATCTATCTATCTAGAAATGCCATTCAGAAACTATGCAAGTGACTAACCCAAGCACTTTCTCCTGAATACTCTGCAGTGCTTCAAGGGACGGGGTGTAGCTTGCATTGTTAGAAGGTAAAAAAGTTCCACCCCATGCTGTATTATTCTCACACAGCACTGTTTCCATTCTGCTGCAATCCATCTTCCACCAAAACAACATTATTTCTCTTGCTGTTGTCATTACATTTTCCCACCCCATTTACTTCAATGCAAAGAAAACACAATGAGGACAAAACTCATAATCAATTATGTATCGTTTGTGGACTGAAAGCAGCAGCAGCAGCAGCAACAACAACAACAACAACAACAAATATTGATTGGATTTGCTGGATTGATTCCAATTCTGGATGTTCCAGAATTGATGCTGTATTGATTCCAATTCTGGAACAAATAATCGAACACCAGCAATTTCCCGTTTCTAGTTTCATCAGAATTCTCCAACATCCCTAGGTGTATGTAGATCAGTGGTTGGGGTGACCTCTTGCTCACTGTGAAGAAAGAAGAAATGCATCACTGACAAAGGAAGACCAAGGAGGGTACCAATTTGGATAAAATGTGCACATGTTAATTTATATAGATGCATATGCAGAAAAAAATGACTATAATTTAAACATCTCAAGGAAATGCTGGGAAATATTCCTGTCTTAAATCCTGGAGAGCTTCTGTCCATCAATTTATCCCAGGGATGAGAAAACTTGCTGCTTTCTAGATGCTATTGGACTACAACTCCCATCAGCCCCAGCCAGCACAGCTGAAGCTCAGGGTTGATGGGAAATGGAGTCCAACAGTATTTGGAGGGTTGCAGGTTCCTAATCCCTGGTCTATGAACAGCAGCCAAAGGACCAAGCAATGTGGCGATGGACCACAGCTCGGTGGTAGATCTCAGTGGTGGCTAGTGCCTCTTAGGAGCCAGTATGGCATAGTGGTTAAAGTGTTGGACTAAAACTCTGAGAGACCAGGATCGGTTCAATACCCACTCAGCCAATGAAACTCATTTGGTGTCCTTGGTGCAGTCACTACCTATCAGAGATGTGGAGGAACAGAAACATGTATGTTGTCTTGAGCTCCTTGAGGAGACATAAATGCAATGAATGAATGAATGCTGGTAGGGAAGAAGGGAGGGAGCTCAATAGTTGGCAGAGCCAGAGCCAATGACAGGCAGAGCCAAGTAATTCTAGCTTTGTCCCCACTCTTCTCCCCCTACAAGGGGATGCAGTGAGACTGAGGAAGAGGCAGCAAGTGCCACCCTCTCGACTGGTTGTAGGAAGCAGGATTGATGGTCAAGGGCAGACTGAGGTTGGTAGGGCAGCGTCCCATTTTCCCTAATGAACCAGCCTCTTCTGGAGAGCAGCTGCTTTATATTGATTCAGTCAGTCTATCTAGCATGCCCACATCTTTCCCAGCCTGGCACCCTTCAGGTATTTTGGTTTAAAACTTCCATCGTCCCTGGCCATTGGCTGCGTTGGCTGGGGCTGATGGGAGTTGTAGTCCAAACTTCTGGAGGCTGCTGGACTGGAGAAGACTGATCTCTGCCAACTGACAGTGCCTCTCTAGGATTTGACATAGGTCCTGGAGATGCCGGGGATTAACCTTCGGCACACAGAGCAAAGCATGTGATCTGCCATGGAGCTAAGACTCTTCTCCTAAAAGATCCCATGTTCAATCCATCACATCTCCTGTTAAAAGGAAGCCAGGTGGCAAGTGGAAAGTGAAGACTCTAACCTGCCTGAGGCCCTGGAAACTGCTGCCAGGCAGAGTGGACAATACTGCAATAGATGGACAAACAGTCTTTCAGCCACTATCTCATTCTCAAGCTATGTAGGCAAATGGCTCTTGAAGAAGAAGAAGAGTTTGGATTTGATATTCCGCTTTATCACTACCCGAAGGAGTCTCAAAGTGGCTAACATTCTCCTTTCCCTTCCTCCCCCACAACAAACACTCTGTGAGGTGAGTGGGGCTGAGAGACTTCAGAGAAGTGTGACTGGCCCAAGGTCACCCAGCAGCTGCATGTGGAGGAGCGGAGACGCGAACCCGGTTCACCAGATTACGAGTCTACCGCTCTTAACCACTACACCACACTGGCTCTTATGTGGACAGCAAGAGGGGATTTGACAGACCAAGCCCATCCTTTGGGCACCTCACACTTAGCCTAGGCACACAGGGATAATTGGTTGAGGTAAAAGCCTCTCTTTCAGGTCGTGCTAAATGGGGCTACAGAAGCTCGTATTGGAAAAGCAAATTAAGTTGGAGAAACATCATGGGATCCAGGTGCTCTCACGGAGGCCAGATTCCACCCTTCCCTTCTACAACCTCCAGTTGCCTATTCATATATTCAGCAATCACTTGGGTCCTGCCACAAGGGGATAGAATTCTTTGTAATCCTGACATAAATCAGCACAGAACAAGAACGTTAGTGGATCAGAATGCATGCTGAATTAATTCTAGGAAGCAACAGCTGGTTGTTGGCATCTATATTTAGAGCAGTGGATTCCCAAATGGAAGGCCACAACAAGAGAATGACTGGCGGGCCAAGCAATGTTCATGAAATAATTCAGCTAGCTGCAAGTGAACAGAGGAGATTCCATCTCTGGATGAGCTGGTGTTCTAGCTTTCCCAATCAGCTTCTGCTCTAGGAGAGAAGGGGTGGGGGATTTGATCCATTTCTTTTTGAGTATATGTCGGCCACCTTTCCATTAAAGTGGCTGAGGCAGCTTTCAACAAAGCAAGGACTCAATAAAAATGCATAAAGTTTTCTTCTCTGCACCAGGTTTGATTGGCTCATTCAGTCGCTCCCATTACAGAGGCTCAGCAGACAGTGGTCCAGTTGGGGGAGGCTGCTTATTATGCCTCTGTATATGTTGCTGTGTTGAATTTGTCTCCTACCAAGGAGCTGTCAGGAGCAGCTGGAACTATGCACAGCTTCCCTGTGTGGTGAGTCTTCTGAGCTGCAGATGGCAGCTTCTCAGTGACTCTGCCCACCCGGGTTCACAATTGGTTCTCCTGGACAAAATAATGGATCATAGAATTGGAAGGGACCCTGAGGACTATCTAGTCCAGCCCCCTGCAATGCAGGAATATGCAGCTGTCCCACACAGGGATGGATCGAACCCGCAGTCTTGGCATTATCAGCACCATGCTCTAACCAACTGAGCTATCCACAGGAAGGAATAGAAGAGGGCTTCCTATTCTGCTGGGGCCTTTCTAGAAGAACAAGGTCTTCCTTGGCTATTTTCTTAGTTGCTTTTCCATCCTCAGTCCTGGCTTGTTCTTTGATCCTACCAGCTGGTTTGCCTGAGTACTGGCTGGCTCCACAGTTCCCAATTCTCAACTCCTGGCTCTTTTCAGACTCCTCATGGCTCAGCCTTCTCTAGGGAGGTGTATGTGTGCATGCATTATATCTGATTGGCAGGCCCAATCCTTAGCTCCCCCTTCTCCTGAAGGCTATTTTTGACATGTGGAGGGGTCCGCCCACCTGTCAATCACCTAACATAGCAGTAGCAGTTGTCCTGGTTTTTTTTGCCTGCACTGATGCTCAGCTGATTTTCAGGGCTTGCATCCTGATGCCCAAGTCCCTATGATCCAGTTGTGTCTTTTACCTGCCCCACCTCTGACACCCTACATGATATCAGGTGCAGGCAGGTGGGTGTGACCTGGTCAAAATGGCCTTGAAGGCCAAATGACTGAGTTTAATATTGCATTTTTTACATTGTGGTAGCCTGCTCTGGGACTTTATTGTGAAGAGCCCTAAGAGATTAATAATGAATAATAATAATACCTGTGGGCCAGAGGTTCTCCATCCCATTCCCTTTGAGTCATTATGCACCAGGAACACTCAGTTGCTCCTAACACAGATAACACAATCGCCTTGTCTCCCTTGCCTCTGAGGGATGCTCACCTTTCACATCTCTGTATGAGCCCTAAGTTAGTATTGCCCTCTTGTGGTCAAGATGCAGAGAACAACAACTCACGCAGGGGAAAACAACACAGAAGAATGGGCTTCCTGCTGCGGGGGGGGGCAGTCATTACAATCTCACAGACTGTTCTGTGTGCAAGATTGAAATGAAGTCCAATTTTGATTCAGTGTGGGCGATGTGCTTTACAAACCTTCCAAAGAATAAGCACTCTGCCATCTCCCAGGCACGTCAACAAGCCCAGCCTCTCCCCATCCCCCCCACTGCCACCACCACGGTTTAGTTTTAATTGTGTGCTTGGTGTGTCAAACTTCAATTTGTCACCGTTGCCCTCTCCCCTCAGGCAAGAGCACAGTGTGCTTCGCCAAGATAGGTGCGGCTCATAAATGGCTCTGACGTAATCACGATTATCTTTTCTCAAACGCTGCAGCTCCAGACGTGGGTGAGCAATTTGGGAGGACTATGGAAGTAAATTTCTCCTTCGTTGTTTAATTTCGAGGTGGTAAATGCTTCAGATTTACAACAAAACATTGCAGTTTTGCAGACACCTCTTTCCCGTTTCAAAGAGGAAGTGTTAGCAAGTGCCACAGCTGCACCTGTTTTCCGGGGACAGACCCTCTTTCTAATCCTGTTCCTTTGTAAATTCATGTTCCTACTTTGTCCTTCGGGGAGCACCTTGTTAAAATTCTGGTAATGCTGAGTTGCTAGCCTAGTCCTTCTGTGGGGTCATTGTCACCGTATTGGCTTTCTAGAAGCTGATTCTCTGAATGGCTGGGTGTCTGGTGCACAGGTAGGAACACTTGTCTGCCATTAGGAATGGGCAAATCTGTCAGCTTTGGTTCCTCTCTCACTTTTCCCATTCTGAAGTTCAAGGTGTTACTATTAGTATAGAAAGCCCTCAATGGTCTTTTAATGTGGCCGCGTTGCAACTTTGCTTAATGTACACCACTTTGCAAGCTTTTTGCCCCAGTATAGTGCAGTCTGCTTGTTATTTTCACCAATGCATGATTTTTATGCATATCTTCCCCTAAAATAGGCATTTTTTTCAGCATATTATTTGGCTGGAGAACTGCACTGTAAAATTTGGAGAAGTGTGAATTTCATGTTATTGTTTGAGAAAAGGTGAATTAGGTACATTTGTTTTTAAATGAAAACTGAAACTAATTTCTGCTCCATCCCTGCTGCCATCACACATGCTGGCATTGATGGGCTGGAGGCTGAACAGTTTATAACCTCTCGTAGGACAAGGATATGGTTTTGGCCCACACCTATATGGACATGCCCAGGCTATGAGATCAGCTGCAGATCCTTGTTCATGGTTCTGCCATTAAAATCCAGCACACTGGCAGGCACAAGAGAGGGCGGCTCTATCCTTGTGGAACTCCCTCCCACCAGATGTGTGTTTTGATTTCCTTTCTGGTAATCTTCAAATGGGCCTTAAAATACCTGATGATTCCAACCCACTTTTAACTGAATGCAGATGCTGTTTTATTATTTTAACTACAGGTGACTGGGGGGAATAAATAAATGGAGAGCAGGGAAATCCCACTCACCATTTGGATATTTCCCACCAACCCACTCATGCACAGTTGCAATTGCAGGCTTACCCAGTTTTGGGCAGCAGGAGCAGGATGGCTCTGGCTCCTCCCTTACCCAGCTTTGGCAAGATGGTGTGAGGGCTCTCTACCTTGTAGGGGGACACAGTTCTGGGAGTTCATGGCATTACGTGGTTTTGCATTTACACCTGGACACCTGGAACCAAACCCTCATGTAAAATGGGAGCTACCTTTATATGGTTTTATGATAGACGGCTAATATTCTTATGTTGTTCTTTGTTTAATCATACACTGCTTACTTGTCAACACTACTTATTTGCTCAATGTTGGCTTATTGCAGGTGGAAAGTTAACTTACAAAGGGAAGGTGTCTTACACCAAGGGGGCCATTGGTCCATGTACTGTAGTACTGCCTACACTGACTGTAAGCAACTCTCAGACAGGGTCTCTCTCAGCCCTACTTGGTGAGGCCAGGGATTGAACCTGGGACCTTCTGCAATCACAGCAGGTACTACTGAACTATAACCCTTCCCTGCAACATCTCAAGGTGATCTTGGATTCCAATGGTGAGGGAGTATGGGCTCTCTATAGGGTCACAGATGTTTGTTTATCATAATTGCAGTGTTTTCTGCATCTGATTTTTCTTCTTTTCTCTTCCTTTAATCTCTGCCACAGTCATCCTGGAGTGTCTGAATACTGTCTTGGCACGCTCTCATCAGTATTCAATTTAAAGAAACTTGCATGCATGGGTGAATGGTTTGGATTTGGGTTTTTAAAATAACTCTAGCATGGCCACCTGAAGTCCTAAAAATAGATTCTACGGTCTGCTGTCGGTTGAGGAATTTTAGTAAGTAGAAATGCAATTAATATGTCACAGCTCTGAGCAGAGAGTTATTTGCTTCCAGCTTCTTTGAAAAGCAAGACTGCTTTGTCAGAGAACCCACAGAAAGCGACAGCTGGCTGGGGTTATGTAATAATGCCCCTCTCATTATCTGGAAAACAGCAAGCTATGAACTTTTTGCAAGGACCAAAAAGAAAGGAATCTGATCCCCATTTGAAATGCTAATGAGCTTTGGAGAGTGAAAATTTGCAATTTGAGGAAAGATGGCAAGGAGCCTTGGAAAGGTCCAAAGACATTGGATCTCAGGAGCAGAGTGATGTAGCAGCTAAATTTCAGATGAAGAAGCCCCCTCCCCCAAAATACATTCTGATCAAAATATAACAGAATTATAAAACCATAGAACTGTGGAGTTGGAAGAGATCCTGAGGGTCATCCAGTCCAATCCCTGCAATGCAGGAATCTCAACTAGATCGTACATGACAGATGACCATCCAACCTCTGCTTGAATACTTCCAAGGAAGGAGAGCCCACAACCTCCTGAGAGAGTCCATTCTACTGTCAAACAGCTAGCTCTTACTGTCAGAAAACTCTTCCTGATGTTTAGCTGGAATCTCCTTTCCCGTAACCTGAATCCACTTCAGGTCCTGGCCTCTAGAGCAGGAAAATACAAGCTTGCTCTATTTTCCATGTGATAGCCCTTTAGATATTTGAAGATGGCTATCATGTTTCCTCTCCATCACCTATTGGGTGAATCACCCAATTCCCTTAACCAGGTCCATGCCTGGTTTGCCTGAGGCCTGGAGCAAGAATCCTCAGTTGGCTGGGAGGCCTGGGGTGGCATGACAACATAAGTCTGGCAGACCCCTGGAGGGGCTTCCCAGACAGCTTAGCCCTCCGAGGCCTGGGGCAAGTATAACAGGCTCCCCCCCCCCCCACTGCATGAGCCTGCCATACCCATTCTCATATGGCTTGGTTTCCCGACCCTTGATCATCTTGGTCACCCTCCTCTGCACACACTCCAGCTTGTCAACATCCTTATTAAATTGTGGTGCCTAGAACTGGACACAGGACTCCAGGTGTGGTCTGACCAAGACAGAACAGAGTGGGATTATGATTTCCCTTGATTGAGACATACTCCTCCCATGCTTGAATTTTAGTTTACAAACCCAAAGAGGAGATGATATTCTTTGCCATGTTTCTTCTTGCACACACAAACAAATATTTCATTACTAATTTTTTTCCTCTTCCCCATCCCTGCCTCCTTTAGAAGTGGAGCATGTTTTGTCCCGTTTATTTCTAAATGAAAGTAACACTTGACAATCAACCTCTCGGGAGCCTTCTCGGCGCCCAATTCATAATCTGTGAATCGGAAGCCTACTGTTTTCTTAAGTGGAGGGAAAACAGCAGAATAAAGGCCTGCTCAACAACTCTCTGCCATTTTGCAGTTAAGTACACTTTGAAGAGAATGAAAGAGATGCATTGACTTGGGAATAATGTTCTCTGTCTTAAAAAAAAATAAAAAAAAATATTCTCAATGAAGGCTCTTGATCCACTAAGGATTTTTGTAAACATTCTGGGTAGCAGCATTATTTTTTAAAAAAATTAGAAGAGTTTTTCTCTCTCTCACTTTTCTTAAATTTTATTTAAAAGATCCTCCTTTTTTAAAACCCCAAAAGAGTGGTGCAGGAAAGAGGTGGGTAGAATCAAGTAGATCCCTTAAAATCTAGCACCTGAGGTTGTCATCCCCCTTTGTGGGTCACTTTCTTTCAAAGCCATCCCCAACCTTGTCAATTCTCCTTCCCACCAGCAGAAAATATATATCTCCGTTTACTGGACTTCACCTTCCTAAAAGGTTACGGTCTGCGATGTAATTATTCTGACATTCTACCAAGTGCCATGGTAACGGATTGTGATGTCAGAAGTAAAGATTGGAGAAGGAAATGCTTATGGGAGGGAATAGACAGTGAAGAAAGAATTTCTCATTTTCGCGCTGGATTTTTCTGACATTCCTCTCCGGCAGTCTTCTTGCTTACTGGGGTTAGTGTTGAATAAAGAACAGGGTGGCAATAAAGGCAAGAGTTGGGGGTGGGAAGGAGGCAGCAAATTGCTTTTAGGCTCCCTGAGAATTTCATTTATTTCCAAGGTTGATGAAGTGCACACAGAACTGCTTCTAACAGGAGGAGGATGAAGCTCCTCAGACAGGAATGAAGGACATTTCAGCAACAGCAATATGCAGACCTTGGGCATGGTGACCCAGGCACATCGCATGCTGTGTTACACTGAGTCAGATCTTTAAACCATCTAGCTCAGCATGGTCTACGCTGGGTGGCAATGGCTCCCCTGGAATTCAGACAGGAGTTGCAGGGAGCTGAACCTGGGACCTTCTGCATGCAAAGTTGATGCCCAGCCACTGAGGTGTGACCTTGAAACACAAAGCGGAAGGTGCAAACTGTTTTGAATCATAGAATTGTAGAGTTGGAAAGGACCGTGAGGGTCATCTTGTCCAACCCACTACAATGCTGGAATCTTTTGCTCAACATGGGGTTCAAACTTGCCCTGTGCTCTTTTTGGGATAGAAATGCAATAGTAGTAGTAGGAGTAGTCATGAGAATGTGAAAGGTTTCACCCATTATACCCGAGGGACTCTTGCAAGAGGGCGGAGGAAATTCTTCTCCAAACATTAGAAGACAGATCCTCGGGGCTGTTTCACACATGGTGTAGAGGTCAGCCCAGTTTAATACTGAGTGTGCATTCAACAGGCAGCTGCAGCCAATCAGAATTCCTTGAAGTTGATGGCATGGCATGATTGCTGGTTGGTTGCAGTCGCACTTCAAAGGTAACCTTAGAAATACCCAGTTCTCACAGGCCCAGTTTCAGCCAGCAACACACTTGGGCAATGCTGGGACTCCACTTCTGCTGACTCTGCAATTTAGGGTCTTCTTTTCTAGAGCTCAGTGGAGGAGCTAAGCTAATGATGCAGTGGCTCTCCTCTTCCTCCTAGTAACAGAGTGGCAAATTCAGAAGTTTGGAGTCCTGCCACAATCACAGCCCCTCACTGTGGGGCTGTACAGCCTTCTGAGGTTATACAGTAACATTATAATTATGCAAGAATAATAATTAGGGATGCATTGCAATGATCAATGCAGATGTGTTGCGTTTCAGCAAGATCTACTTTTTCTGTGCACGTACACTGGCAAATAACTTGGAGTGCTTCAATATCTTCTTTCCAAGCAACGTAACTTGTGTGTTCCTTGACATCCCATTGTACATGACAGAACTAGCACACCATTCTCTTGATACTGAAGCACCTTGTGCTTTCAGTGTTCCTAAATGCTTAGCTGTGGAGTACACAGAACAACTCCTCCGTGCTCTTTCCAGAAGGACCCTAGGAGACAATCCTCCATGGCTGACTCACCTCCTTTCACTCTTGCTCCAATTAGAAATTTGGCAACTTCTGCTCATCTGCTATCATGCTGACTATGTGGCTCTAGGATGCTGGAGTCAAGGACCCTATCGGGTCCTTGCTGCAGAAATAATATGGGTCTTTGACGCCCTATGACCCCAAACCACTTCACCTATGCTTCCTTTTCAGCTAAACCCATTCACATGTGCCCCCCAATCTATGGTGCTAAGGAGAAGTGGAGGGGCCATCCCATTACCTTGTGGGGGACACACAAAGCCCCGTGTCACCAACCACTTCAAACTTGGAGACATCTCCAAATTTACATCTAATGTACTGTACTATGACACTGAAATTATGCAATGGGTATTTTTTGGGTGGGGGGAGACAATGGATGCTGAAATTTTAAGTTTGCTGTGCCTTTCATAGGAGGATTGTTTGGTATGTGAATGAAATGCCATCCTATTAGTTCCACCTTGCTAACTTAAGGAATTAGGGAGATAGTGTTCTGTCTGGCAGTTGTTTTAGCTCCATGATCCTGTCAGTAATGAGTGAGAAAATGTATGCCTCTCACATAAGCAGTGGAGTTAACCATTTCCCTTCCTTTCCTTTCCTTTCCTCTCTCTCTCTCTCTCTCTCTCTCTCTCTCTCTCTCTCTCTCTTGCAGCTTTGTGTGAGAGCATCTGTTGCTATGTGCATAAACTTTCATAATCTCGGATTTCATTTTAGGAAAGAGTAAGTTCCTAGTCTCTGTGGTTACTGGAGAGAGAGTAGGGTGGTCACTTGAAAATCACTGAAAAAGAAGGCACCAATCTGCATTTGCTAATGTTCAGAATTTAGAAATAATTACTACTGTGTAAATAAAAGTATAGGGACACGGGTGGTGCTGTGGGTTAAACCACAGAGCCTAGGACTTGCTGATCAGAAGGTCGGCGGTTCGAATCCCCGCAACAGGGTGAGCTCCTGTTGCTCTGTCCCTGCTCCTGCCAACCTAGCACCCCTCTCTTAAAGGCACAAGAAGAAGCCCAGCTCCCCCACCTCAAAGAGCTGTCAACCGGGGAACATCACCTGTTTGAAAAATAAATGTAAGAATATAGATATCCTTTGGGAAACTTGATCACCAGAGCCAGCCCAATACATTTTGCTCCCTGTTAACATAGGGAGGATAACATAGGGTTGCCATATTTCAAAAAGTAAAAATCCAGACACAAAAGTTGATGAGCTGTTTCAGACAACCAAACCTGGCTAGGCTGGGTATGTTATCCTTAGGATAACATAGTTTTGCCTCTCCCCACCAATTCCACATACAAATGGCAGCTGAATTGGCTATTGACTCTGAACTTCAACACTAGCAATGAGACAGTGCCCTCTATTGCACCTGAGGACAGCAAGCTGGCTTAGGGTCTGCGTGGCACACACACAGCTCTGTCTGCTCCTGAAGTAGCTGCTTCACCCTGCCTGATGGTTGGGCCGGCTCTGTTTATTGCTTCTGCGGCAGGAAGAACTGAAATTAAACATTCCCCCCCCTTGTTTATTGGCAAACAATACCAGAGGGAGCCTGAAGCTGCAGCCAGCTTGCATTGGCATTCCAAGCACACAGGCTCAACTTGTAGAAAACAAAGAGAGGATCGATGTCAGTTCCACCTGCTGAGTGCCGAAGGAGAACTGGCTACAGGTTTTTCTCTGGCCCAGATTGGGCCAAGGCTTTGCCACGACAACCCACAACCACTGCTTTCCGTCTCCCCACATTTAGTTTTGTAGTGCACCAGTCCACTAATGCAAGGGTGTGTGTTTGTGTGTGTGGAGAAACTGAAGGAGGAATGGAAGATAGAGAAGAACTGCTCAAGCTGACTTCCTTGAGCCAAAGGAGAGGCGCATGGCACAGGATATGCCAGAGTGCACTTGCTAAACTGTGAAGCAAGTGCCTTTTCCTGGAATCATGAAGACAGAAACACCCAAAGTCTGCCATGTGCACATAGAGGAAAGCATGCAGGGAGACATATACATTTCAAACTGATGCGCACTGGCCTCAGTGTCAGACCTTGCTGTCTCAGATTTTAATGGCGCCCTGTGCAACAGCAAAATACATCAACCCCCTTGCCTCTTGTCTTCCATTGGATGTCATAGTTGCAGCACTTGCTTCGGCACCCCAGAAGCTCCACACCTGGTGCAACCACACCGGCTTCATTTCCCTAGATCTGCCTTTGCTTACCCGGAAGTACTTTCAGTGATGCCATTAGGACACTTTCAGCTCGGAATGGGGAACCAAGAGCCAAGTGCTTCCTTCTCTGTCTGGCCCTCATAATTCTTCTTGGGCCATGCTCCTTGCTGACCCCCCCCCCCACAATTTCTTTGCCTGGTTAGAATATGTCCTTGAATTCTCATAATGCTTCTTGGTTGTCTGGACAGAAGACAGGGAGGGTCTCTGAGAGAGCATGTGTGTATGTATGCACATGCACGCCTGTGTCCACATGTATGTGCAGAAACTGAAATACTGTACAAAGGAGAAGTTGACACTCATGGCTCCCCACCACTTTTGTGTCTGGCCCCTGCCCACTACTGGCATCTAGGCCTTCAGAGGTTGCCCTGGAAAAGGTCTACAAAAGGGCATATGCTAGGGCAAAGTGTGAAAATAAAATGCAAATTGCATTATGTTAGGGGAAATAATTACTTTGGGGGGAAATAGCCAAAATTGAATATAAAGATGTATGTGGTAGGAGAAATTTGCACTAAAAAAATGATGAATTTTCATATGCTTTTAGAAAATGTGTGTGAAAATGTGGTGAACTGAATTTAAGATTCCAGTGTGGTGTAGTGGTTAAGAGCGGTAGACTCGTAATCTGGTGAACTGGGTTCGTGTCCCCGCTCCTCCTCATGCAGCTGCTGGGTGACCTTGGGCTAGTCACACTTCTCTGAAGTCTCTCAGCCTCACTCACCTCACAGAGTGTTTGTTGTGGGGGACGAAGGGAAAGGAGAATGTTAGCCGCTTTGAGACTCCTTCGGGTAGTGATAAAGCAGGATATCAAATCCAAACTCTTCTTCTTTGGCAATCACTCGTAGCTGAGTAAGATTGTCTTCTATGAATATGGTCTTAACAGTGAGTCCGT